AAAAAAAAAGAAGAGAGTTCTAACTATACATGAATTTACACAAAGCAGTGGAAAGAGTGTGTAGTAGCCAAAGGAGCCAAGCTTTCGAGTTGGCCACTACCACAGAGCAGTTACGGATGGGTGAAAGTTAAATACACTTAAGGAGATAGCACATATACTAAATAGTTAAAATAGTAAAATAGAGCTCTATGATAGGTTAAAGTTGTTCAAGATGTCTGCCTGCCAAGTAGGAAGAGTTTATATTCTTTTTTAAAGCTTTTGGCAGGGAGACACTTTATTTTAATAGGTATCGTTTGCCAGATCTGTGATGCCACCACACTAAATCTTGCTAGACCATAATTGGTTCTAGAGAATGGTCTGTACAAGTTTTGATTAGTGGCATACCTAGTAGAGTAATTATGGACAGCTGAAGCTGGTTGGGCTAGATCATAGAGGACTGGAGGTATATTCTTTTTTTGATATTGAATTTTATGCACAAGAGAGCCAATTTTTAATTTAAAAATATTATCTAATCTTAAGATTTCTAATAGTGTGAAATATGATGTAGAACTTTCTCATTTGCTATCAAAGAAGATGCTGCGAATACCGTTGTTTTGACTTATTTTGATTTTATTTAACCTGGTTTGTATGCAGTTCCCCAGCACATCAATCCATATGTTAGATAGGGATATATGAGAGTATAGTACAGTTGTTTGAATGTGCCCACAGGTAAATAATGTCTAAGCTTAAATAGAATTCCGATGTTTTTTGTTATTTTATTGTTTATGTGCTGGAGCTGAGCATCCCATTTTAAATGTTCATCAATCAAAACCCCCAAATATTTTATCTGAGACTTTTGTTCTACCTATTATGCACAATCCTCGCAGTAAAGAGCGCTATCTATGCAATAGCGAAAATCAACTTAACGGCCAGCTCCCAGTTGGCTTGTTAGCTCAATTGGTAAAGCACTGCACTAGTATCGCAGGTCAGTGGTTCGAATCCCGTACAGGCCTGATTTTTTTCAGGTCTGATTTTCGCTATTGCATAAATAGCGCTCTTTACTGCGAGGATCGTACATAATAGGTATCTATAACCGCAAGTTCAAAATATATGAACCTCATATATTCATCGTATCTGATTTATCATGACGGGTCTATTACGAATCGACCTAACGGCCAGCTCCCAGTTGACTTGTTAGCTCAATTGGTAGAGCACTGCACTAGAATCGCAGAGGTCAGTGGTTCGAATCCCGTACAGGCCTGATTTTTTTCAGGTCTGATTTTCGCTATTGCATAAATAGCGCTCTTTACTGCGAGGATCGTGCATAATAGGTATCTATAACCGCAGTTCAAAATATATGAACTTCATATATTCATCGTATCTGATTTTTGTTCTATATTGGAAACTGTTATTCTGATATTTGTTCTCTTTTTAAGTGAAGTAATAATCATAAAATTAGTCTTACGTATGGTGCACGATCCTCGCAGTAGAGAGCGCTATTTATGCAATAGCGAAAATCAGACCTGAAAAAAATCAGGCCTGTTCGGGATTCGAACCACTGACCTCTGCGATGCTAGTGCATCGCTCTACCAATTGAGCTAACAAGCCAACTGGGAGCAGGCCCTTAAGTTGATTCGTAATAAACCCTTGATGATAAATCAGATACGATGAATATATGAAGTTCATATATTTTGAACTGCGGTTAAAGATACGTATGGTG